TAATATACATAGGGTCTTCTCTGGTTCGGTTACATATTTGGTGATTTCAGCAAAATCCTTAATCTTTCTGAATTTTGAGGGCTCCAATGTAAAAGATAATGATCATTCTTGGCTTGTGTATTGGATTACTAATAATGTCTGCATTGTACCTACCAAAGCTCTTGGTAGTTGTTTAGTAAGAGTAGCTATTTAATAAGTTAATAGCAAAGATGGTACAATTAGCAAGGGTGTTAGCTGCAGAATCACTGAGTAGAGCTAGACCAGAGCTGCTTGATGGAGCACAAACTGAATATGAGTGACAATGTAATCACGTTACTTTTAGAGTTAAAATTATTAGATAATGCATTTTAAAAGCCCACAAAAGGAAAATGGAAATCAGAATGAAGAATAAAAACTAAGTGGTAAGAGTTACTCTCTCTGAAAGGGTGTGGAGAACAGCATTTTTAGAAAAGGAATCCCAGAAATTGATTGATGTGCTGGTTACAGAGATATATACATTTGACAAAACAAATCACACTGTATACTTTATGCACTTCCTTTTACCATGTATAAATTAGTTTCTAATCTTTTTAAAAAATGAGATAACCCTATACATCAACAGCATGGTTATAATTTTTTCAAAAGGCAAAAAGAAAATACTAATTGTTAGTAAGAATGAAGAACAATTGGAATCTTAGTAAATGGCTGATGGGATTATTGATTGGCACAAGCACTTGAGAAACTAGATTTTAGTGGTATGTACTAAAGCTAAACAATGCATATCCTATGACCTAGCATTTCCACTCAGGTATGACACACGCATATTTACCAAAAGACATATAAAAGAATGTTCATGGCAATGTTTATCATAAATAGCCAAAACCAGGATAGTCTACATGTTTATCAACAGCAAAATGGATAAATAAAATGTGGTATGTTAATTCAATAGAATCTACATAACTCTGAGAATGAACAAATTATACCTCTATGCAAAAACTTGGGTGAATATAAAAAACATTAGTAAAAGAACCAAAATACAAAAGAGTACACAATGTGTGGTTCATTTATACAAAGTTTAAAATCAGGCAAAATTAATCTGTAGTGTTAGAAGTCAAGTGGTTACCCTTAGAAGTTGTAGAGACTGGTATGAGGAGAAAGAGGAGTTATGGGTATGTTTTGCTTCTTGATTTGGGTGCTGGTTGCATGGGTAAGTTCATACTGTGAAACTTCAGTAAACTGTAAAATTAGGATTTGTGTATTACTTCAAAAGATAGGCTACACAGAATTTTAAAAACCTTACAGCACTGACCCTAGGGAAATTGCGTGTGAGAAGGAATTAGAAGCCTTATGTGAGAGAAGATTAACAGAGAGATAGATCCAAGTTTTCCAGAAAAAGGATGGGAGGTTGACAATGGGGATTAGAATGTATAACAAATAAAACACTGGGTCCAGAACGGGAACCAGAAATCAAATATATATTTAAAAAATGTGATTAATCTAGCCCCGTTCCAGGCAAGTAAGGTGGAGAAGAAATGTTAAGAAGCTTTAAGAAACTTTTTGTTGTTTTGTTTTGTTTCATTTTGTTTCATTTTGTTTCTTCATGGGCTGGGAAAGGTAGCACTAGTTCTAGGGAATCCATTTAAAATTTTGCAATAGGGAGAAAAAGGGACCAACATGGAACCAGTGTGGTGCTGATGTGTAAAAGTGGGCTCCACTGGCCAAATGGTGCCTAGATTAGTACTGGGCTTTCTGCTCTCTTGATCTGCAGTGTGCTTGGAAAGATGGAAAAAGACTGGTAAAATAAAAAGACACAGACAAATGGGAACATGCCGTTGCTATACCTGTTTAGTTCTACTACAGCATTCAGGCCCTCATCCTTCCTATAGCTGTAGCAAAAGCAAGTCCCAAATTCTGTCCACATTAGAGCTATCTACTTGCCAGTCAGCAGATCTCTCGGAAGCTGGGGAGAGATCAAGCTCAGTGCAATTTGAAGGTGCCCTGCGGAACTCTGGGCTTGAGCAAGATTAATTAGAGATTCACTCCTGTATATGAATAGCAATGATTGTCATATTTCCAGATAGGCCTGTTCCATTAGGTGTTAAAAGCATATTTAAAATTGAATTGATGAATTTTATTTGCTTCATCCATAAAATTTAAGATCTCACTGATAAATAAAACAGGATTTTTAACCAGTACAGTGAGATATTTCCTTCTAACTTGTTTCCTTCAATATAGAAATCTGGAATTTTTCGTTATCACACTTAAACATGCTATTTTTCTAGTTGATTTCTCCCAGAAAACAAAAGATTAAACATGGAGATGGAAACTCTCCTGCAATTTGATGTTATTAAATACCCTGTGTTCTCCTATGTTTGATAATAATATCAAATGTAAGGTACCTGACCTACTTCACTATCAGTTTATAGCTACCAGGTGTCCCTAATACTTTAAGAATGTAATTTCAGTCAAAAGACAAATTAGATTATACTACTCCCAGTACTTCAATTTGAAATAAAATATCCAAGGCAATTATTTGTTGTTCAAGTATGATTAGTAACATGAGGAGTATAAAGGATTAAAGTAAATATGATATCTGATTTCTCAGGATGTAGGATTTCTGAAACTAGATTATGATCCTGTGAAAATGAGAAGACAAGAACATTCTGTTTTACAAAGGCTTTTGCATACATTATATAATCTGTCATGATTCCCTCTGAGAAGGAAGAGTTAGTATACCCCAGAGGGCATTTATTCTTTGCTTATCTATATTGACTACTTAGTAAGCACAGAACCCTGGGCTTTTGTCATTGCGGAGTTCTTACATAGTTTGCTGTAAACAACATCTAACATAAGTACAATTCTTTATAATTGACATAGCATATCCATATATCATATGATCATCCTAAAGAGTACAGTGAAATAATTACCCCCTTTTAAAAAGGTAGAAATGTTGTGACTCAGAGTTTAAATCACTTGCCTGAAATTACACAGCAAATGGAACTTGAACCCAGAATCTCATGTGCTTTCCAAGAACCTTCACCATCTTACTTTTTGTATCCCCTTATTTAAGGAACAGAGACTGTTATCTCACTCAATACCTGCAATAGTTGGTATGTGATGCATCTATGGGCAGAAGTAATTATTAAAGGACACATTGCAAATGTCTTGTAAAATAACATCTAAATTTAAATCAAAATATGTCATTGGGGCACCTGGGTGGCTCAGTTGTTAAGCGGCTGCCTTCGGCTCGGGTCATGATCCCAGGGTCCTGGGATCGAGCCCCACATTGGGCTCCCTGCTTGGAGGGAGGCCTCCTTCTCCCTCTCCCATTCCCCCTGCTTGTGTTCCCTCTCTCGCTGTGTCTCTCTCTGTCAAATAAATAAATAAAATCTTTAAAAAAAAAAAATATGTCATTGAAGCATATGAAATTTGGAACCCAGAGAAAAGGAAAATATAGTTAAGTGACATTATAATGAATATAAAAACACAACATTTTACTTTTAAAATTCTAATTACCATATTTTTAAAGGCATATACAAATTTGAATTATCTTGCGTATCTTTTATTTACATATGCATGGTAAGTTCAATATCTTCCCTCTAGACAACTCTATGAAGCAATTTAAAAGTTTAAGTGATGAAAAATTGGATGAAGAATATTCCAAAAACCAGAAAAGAAAAAAATATATACAAATTCTGCTTGTGAAAGGGAAGATTAAGGTCACATTACAGTGAGGATATTCCTGCTTCTATGGCTTGCCACAGATCTTTCTACTTGTTCTTATGGATGTCTAAACTGTTTTTCCCCCAGAGATCCCAATGGCTCTCACACTCACTGCCCTCAAGTCTTCATTTGAATGTCACCCTTTGAGACCTTCCCTGACCACTGGAGTTAAAAGTATAGCCCTCCTCCCAAAACTACCTATTCTTATTTTACTACATAGCGTATATCACAGTTTAACATCTTATATTTTATTTATTTACTGTCTGTATCCTCTTACTAAAATGTAAGCTCCAAGAGGAGTAGAGATTTTGATCTGTTTTGCAAAATGTACCTAGAAAAGTGGCAGGTACCGGGTTGGTGTTCAATAAATACTTTTTTTTTTTTACACAAAGAAAGCATAGTAGAAGAAAGGAAGGAGGGGAGAGAGAAGGGAGGGAGGGAGAGAAGAGGGGAAGGAGAAAGAAAGGAAAATAAAGAGTGGGAGGGAGGAAGGCTGAAAGGTATGTAAAAGGACAATATTTTGCATATTATCTTTGTGAGAAAGTACCATTGGTAATATCAACGGTTAATTTTTGCTGTTAATTAATATCCCTGGTACTTACTACTGATAAATCTAGAGGAAAAAAAACCTTCAGGAGAGAAGAAAATAGAAAAATGAAGGAAGGTTCATGAGGATCATAAAGATAAACAACCATACAGAGCTGTTTGTATTATTTTATTTGACCCTCGTAGGAATATGTGAGGCAAGGAAACTTGAGGATTGCCGAAGGATACAGAGAAATTAAGCTGGAGATGAGATGTGCTAGTCTAAGCACCCAGAGGAGCCTAAGATGGAGAGATAGTGAGAGATGGGGGAGGGTGTAAACTCAGGTTTCCAGTGCCCAATCCTAGGCTTTTTAAAGTTTTCTGCAGACAAAGAAAAGAATGAGGAATGAAGGAGGGAAAGGAAATCATGTATCACTTCAAAATGTTTGCCAGGTATTTTTTGGCAGCGCCACAATTCATCCTAGTAAAGGCACTTTCATTTATATTTGAAGGTTGATTTACTCATTGAAAACCCATTGCCTAAATAGGCACAAGATTATTTGCTTTGAAGCACTAGCATGCATAATAATACCACCATTACATTTTTAAGGACTTTATGCAAAAAGAATGATCTTGTATGAGGGTATTATATATAATGAGTATATTTACTTCAGCCTGGCATGTGCAGTGGGACAGAAACCATTTGCTGTTTTACCAACAAGAATAAATGGGATATCTGAAGACATTAATAAGATAATATTTTAGAGACTCACCTAGAACTTTGCTGTAGTAAGAATTCCATTCTCCCCAGTAGGACTGAAATATGTAGTCTTGCAGAGGATAAGAGATAGTATTTTTAACCCTCTCACCAAAGGTCATCTTGTCAGTGAGCTCTGACAAAGCTGCAGGTACATAGGAGGCAGGTGCTGGGATTTTCCCACAGTGTCTCTCAACTGTGGAGGCTGGAGAGAACCTCAGTGTGTACACAAATGGAATTCCTAATTTCAGAGCGACGAGGTCCCCACAGATAGTTACTGGGTCTGCTACTAACACATCAAAACCACCTTTCTGAAGTCTTGCCATTAACTTGGGGTTGTTTAATACTCCATCACAGATTTGTATATTGATTCGAAAAAAAGTATCTAGAAGTTTTCCTAGTTCTTTATAGAAAGTCCAGAGTGTGAGAAGAGTTGGTCTGTGGTCTAGCCACAGCTTTATCATGTGTTCAATTAAGGATTCTATATTGCTGTTCAAATAGGAGACAGGTATCACCTCAAAATTCACAGAAGAATCAGGATTAGAGTTGATGAATAGAGCTGTTGATGAAGCCAGGACAGTCACATTGTGATTTCTTTGAATCAGCTCCTCTAGAATGATCTTAATATTTAACCAATGGCTACCATCCGTTGGCCAAATGAGCACATTTCCACTTAGAACAATTTCAGTCAAAGTCAAATTAAAAACCAGCAGCTGGACAAACTTCTTAGGCATGGTGATATCCATTCTGAAAACCATCCTACTGTAGATCTTTTAAGATAAAAAGAAATTTTCAAAGTATATTTAGGTAGATTATTTTTTCAAATAATGTGATAGGTATACTCATTCATAGGTCAATTGATCTATAATGTTTAATGTGATAGGTATACTCATTCATAGGTCAATTGATCTATAGATTAAAAGGAAAATGATATAATTCAAACCATTATATGTAATAATATTATTATTCTAGCAACAGAAATAAATCAAGTCCTATTTGAAAGTAAAAGAAGAAGTCAAATTATAAGCCTGGGGTCTGTGTACTCTGTGATAATAATTATAAAATGTGTCTTTAATTTATCTTTCCTAAAATTAGGTTAAACAAAAAATAATAATTCTTACTGCTAAAGCCACTTTCTCAAAACTTACAGTAACTTCAAGTTAGATATCTATTACGAGGCATTTTTACATACATTGTCTAATTCAGTCCCTTCCAGAGTCGTGTGGCATAAATTACTTGCTACATTTCATAGATAATGAAATTAATGTTGAGTTGCATACCTAAAAACATATGACAAAGTAGGGCAACTGGGACTATTATCATAACATCATTTGAGAAATTGCTGGATTTCCACGGTATTATGCCTCATCTTTGTAAGTTTTAGGGACTTTGGCAATGCACAATGACCAGCATTATTATTACTTCCCTATGGCTCATATTTAGGAAGAAAAACTAAAAACAACCTTCACTTAGAAAAGGTTTTCTCAAAGATTTCAACATGTTTTAGATTAATTGGGTTATAGAGTAAATTATTACACATTTGTCAGAGGAGAGTTTTCTTCTCTGATAAAGCATACTGATAATCATCTCCTTGTTGCACAGAATTTTTCACTTTCTTTCATACGACATCTTCATATACAAATCAAGAAGATAGGGCCTAGCACCTCAATAAGTCACACGCTTTTTCACTCAGAATTGTGTAGTAGCTTAAATTGGGTGGACACTAGAGTTCAATAGCCCCAGATTCAAAAACTGTTCTTTTACAAGCTTTGTGACCCTGGAAAACTACCTAGACCCTTTCAGCCTTGGTTTTCTCATGCATAAATGAGAGATAGTGATGTTAATTTGTTTATTACTTTGTGGATTAGCAATAATATCTGCAAAGTTGCTTTGTAAACTGCTTGGTTCAAAGCAAAAATTTGGTAATGTTTGTTAATAAATTTGCCTGAAGATTGATCGGTAAACCACTGGGCTAGCTACAGAATGACCAGCTAGACGTAGATATAATGACATCTGTCCGTTGAGATTCTTAGTAAATGCCAAACTATACAAGGGTAACCATATATTGATGCTATTTTAAAAGCTAAAAGCATTAGAAGTTGCCATTAAAAAGAGAAAATAAAAACAAATAATGTGATTAAAAGGATAGAAACCAGGAATTGAGAATGGAAATTAAGTGGTTTGTTTTCTTTTCATGCTCTGTTGCCTTTAAACTGACTAATTACAGGACTTGGAGTAACAAAAAGACCAGAAAGACAGAGAAAGGGGAAGAAGAGAGAGAGAAGTGATGCTTTTAGAATTACTGTATTTGTGTCCTTTCAAGAGTCAGCCTCAATTTGAATACAATGTCTGTACTTTTAAAATTAATTAGATTTTGAAGCACAACAGCAAGAGAAGAGTATCAGTAACCCCAATGACCATTAAAATAGGCCTAGTGAAAAGAATTTGATGTATCTTCATAATTCTGTTGCTGTCATGACCTTCCAATACAGAGGGGACAAAACACAACAACATATAAAGCATAACCAAAAGTTTATCTATAAAATACTTAGATTTGTCCAATTATTGAGGTCCATGTAAGTAGAATATAATAATTAATTAGGGATCGTTCATTAGCAACAGTTATATTAGCACTTAAAACTTATCAAAATATATCCCCAAATCAAATACACGACTTACCCTGAATAAAAGAAAAAAGAAGAGTTCAAGGAGTCCATTTGCCACTGTTAAGTGGCCTTTTCAGGACAGTAACATAATTATCTAATTTACTGAAGAGCAATTGCAGATAATAGAATTTATTAATAACTAACATATCTGTTTTTTGTTTTCAAAGTATACTTCGATGTTACAGTGTTTAATTTCACCAGTGTCAATGTAGATGTCTGTTATATTTATTCCCCAGTTCCCTGTATGCCTGCAATATATCATTGCAAATTCAAACATTTTAAGAAGATAAAAAATAAATTATGTTTGGGGATATATGTAGGTATAATCGTAGATTTAAATTTCCATCAATGGGAAAAAATAATAACTCCTGACAAATATTCCAAATGACAAAAATGAAGTTCAGTGATTTAAAATGATCACATGTTTACTTGCTTCATGAGTTCACTAATAGCTTTTCTGAATAAGAAGTGAGTAAGAGCATAGTGGGGTTGGCATTCTGGAGAAAGCATGAGTTCAGTTTGGCCAACTCCATCATTTTATATGTAAGAGCACAGATCGAGAAAGTTTTAAATAATCTCAAAGTTGTATTGCTAGAAAGTGGCAGATGAGATGAATGCCTAAGTATTCCAGTTCCCAGCCCAATGTTCTTTCTTCTTTCTTCTATTTTTTAAAATGTGAGATACAGTTTATAACAGCAAAAATTAGAAAACCACTACATTTTATAATTATGACTATTTGATAATATGACATCTTAAACATAATTAAAGAGCCCAGAAAATAATATTTTTAAATATGTCTATGAAACATCAATATATGAGTAGCATGGGTGAAAAGTCAACCAGAGAAAGTTTGCACCAATTAGAATATTGTCCTTATACTATGAATCAAGTTCTCATTCTTACTCTGCTTGCTTTGAAAGGAAGTACTCCAAATGGTAATAAAATAGATATAAAGTTCTCAGAATCATATTTAATAAGATTTGTGTTGTTAAAAAGAGAGGCACAGGCCCAAATGAAGTCTTGTTAATGTCCCACGTCAGTAAACCAAGACTTAATCTAACTGCACCCCACTCTCCCCCAGGCATGTAACCTTTAACCTGCCAACTGGAATTTCCTGGTCAAATACTAGGAGGTAATCTGCTGACTTTTCTCTTCCCCCTAGGAAGGAAACTTTGCCTAAAACATTGCATTCTTTGCTAGTAATTCCCTTCAATCCACACTGTTTAAACCTTTCTTTTCTACAGCTCTACAGAGTTCCCCTCTACTTGCTAGATGAGATGTGTCCTATCTCTGAACCATTTAATAAAGCCAATTAGATATTCAAATTCACTCAGTTGAATTTGTGTTGTTTAACAGTGTATATAACACTTGCTTGAGAATGTGTAGTTCATCTGTATAAAATTAAATTAAGATTAAAGTTCTTTAAAATATGCATAATGCTATTAGTTTGAATTGAGAATCCTTGAAACAGTATTTTTGTATGCAAGTTCTTTCTTACAATTTTTCCCCCAACTACATACCCTGAATTAAAGGTCTCCTCTTCCTGTGAGCATTTCAATGAATGGCTAGAATTTAATTGTGCTAATCCATTTCTCATTGTCTCTTGGATTGGAGGTGGTCCCAAAGGCCATAAAGATGTCCCAAAGATGGCTTGGAAACCATTTTTCACACTATTTTTAAAAACTGAGTAATCAACTCCTTAGTAACCTTAGAGTTTTAACTTCACATTAGAGCTTCAACTTTTTTTTTAGTTCCTTGAATTCATTTAGTTAATGCATTCTTGAAAGCTTAAAATTCGATGTACTTTTTCTTTCCCTTTGTTTTATTGTATATAAACTGAGTATCTTTCTAGAACTTTTCTTTTAGCTCAGGGTCTCACATCAAATGCATCACCACTTTCTTCATTGTAACCTCAGGTGAGTTACTCACCCTCCTCATTACAAAATGGTGGAGAATCCTGGTGCTTATTTCTTATAGTTGTGAGGACTGAATGAAAAAAATGCGTGTACATTATTCGGAACAGCATCCACGCTCAATAAATGTTAACTATATTTGATAACATAGGGAGAGAATCTTACTTTAAAAACTACCAGTTTAACCAGATCTCATCACCTAGACCCACCTCTTCCACTTCCCAGATAATGGTCCTCTGGGGTGTCTGAGCTTTGGGGCAGGTCTTCCCAAACACCACAAGTTCCTTTACAGGTGTCAGTCACGCTCAGTCTTGAGGCACATCACGAATGATATGTTACTAACAATATATTCAGTACCAGAGTTCACAAGTGACTTATTTTAAGGAGTACATACATAGAAAACTCAAGATTATATCCATAAAAATGATCATCTCCATTCCCTTTCATTGAGTGGGAGCAAAGAGTGACAGTGCCCTTGAAATTGTGCATGTCCCATAGCAAATTCCATCTTGGATGTCTTGCTTATGGCTGTCATTCCATTCATGGGTCATTATGAAAAAGGGGATGCTAATAGAAGTCATTTGAAAGATTCTAACCAAACAAAATTAATTTACATTAAAAAATAGAGGAAGAAAGGATAGAGGGAAGCAAGAAAAAGACTGGGGAGAAAGAGAGAAAAAAAAAAGTTCCAAACCAACATGTAGTACTCTTCAGGGAAAGAACCCTGATACATTTTTCTCTCCTTTAAAATGACTATTGGAAATCAAGCACTTTGGAGATATACACGTTCACATTTGTTACATTTCTAACACTTCATTTTACATTAATTACCTGTGCTCGGTGTTTAGTTCATGTAAAGATCTGAATATTATAGTCATATTTTTTTTTGAAGATCTGTTGTTTTTTCTATTATACTTACAGGAAAGTCTGCTGTTATAGATGGCATTAGTTCTTAGAGATTAATCACCTAATTATTCATGTATAATAATACATTATGTATTCGTATAAATCTAACATATAAAGATTATTCACACAAAAAAGCTATTTGTTTCTATACAGGCCGAAAGGT